ACAATCTGCCAGGAAAATGCCATTGATATTAGTTTTAGGACTATGCTGTAATGGAAAATCTCAGGGTTAGAGTTTCACTCATTTAACGTAGCAATTAGTGCAAAGGGAAGAACCTGCAAACAATTTTTTACTTTATCTATGGAAGGTGAAAGCTTTTTAGTGTCAAAGATAACCAAACTGAGGCCAAGGTAGAATAGTTCTCATTTTTGTTTATGATTATCAAAACTCAATGCATTTTTATCTGGGCATTTGATTCTATTAAGGGATTCAAACACTTTGGCACAGCAAACTCCCCCAGTTAAAGATCTCACAGCAGTATTTACTTAGACCACCACCAATCAGTGACATTCCCAATGGCCTAGGATAAAAATGCAAATGGGATATACATACCACTCGTTTAAATACCTAAAAGTTAAATGTAGCTAGCAAACTGTCAAATCACATATACTTCTGTTGCATACTGTGACAAAGATATTGAATGAAACTTGAAGGCCAAGTTGAAATGAAGAACTCTTAGATTCCTTAGAGTTAGACACTGGATTATAGCAGCACAAAACGAAAAAAAACCAAACTCATTGCTGTTGAGTCGGTCCCAATGTATAGCGATACCTCCTTAGGTCTCTACAGAAGTAGATTGCCCAATCTTCCTTCCGAGGAGTGGCTGGTAGGTTTGAACCGCCAGCCTTCTGGTTAGCAATTAAATGCCTTAGGCACTAAGCCACCAGAGCTTCCATAGCAGCACAAGGAGTGCAGATCCCTGACCCATGGCTGTGCTGTCCTTCCCTTCCCATTTCAATTCCATATTGCATCGCTAGGGCATTGTATGCATATCTATGATCTATCTGTATCTCCTGCAGAGTCATCCCTTGGCCACATTCAAGCTTAGAATTGAACATCCTTGCCCTCAGGAAAGACAGATCCAGGTAAGAGATATATACAGGCCTGGAAGTGGGCTTGAAGCTTATAGGCAAGAAATTCTGGGGTCCTGGGTACTAGGATCATAGTCTAGAAGTAAACAAAATGGCTCTATGTGGTAATGCCCTTGTCCCAAACACATTCCTGAATATATGGGAAGCAGGGGGGCAGAACACATCCTCTAAGTGCAAAACCCCATCCTACTTAAGGACAGTATTTCCCACAAATTTAAATAGGGACTCTGCATCTGTATGTAATATAATCTCTGTATCCCAAACACTTAAAATTCATAGCCCCTTGAACTAGTTCAATTTTTCAATCTAACTCTGGTTTAATGTAATGAAGAATAGATATGGAATAAATGTTCAAAAGGCCTGCTAATTACAGGAAAGGCACCCTGTGTTAGACTGGGTTCTCTAGAGAAACAAAAACCAGTAAAGCTTAGAGAGAGAGAGAGAGAGA